GCTTTGTGAAAAAGCATTACAGTTTAATAAAAAATTAGGTGACGGCGGCTCGTTTGTCGCAAGTAACGGATGGTTATATAGATTTATAGCTCTTCATGGAATTCAATCAATGTTTATTAAAAAATAATAATTTCTTAATAAACATTGATTTTCGTTGAAATTGTTGTTTTTAATAAACACATAACATTTTGTATGTACATATGTACTACAAATGCACAAAACCCGCTTTTCTTAATACATTCGATCATCCGGATTTTCGATTATCCGAATCCCTAACGGCAACAATTAGTCCGGTTAATCGAGTATATATATACATATTGAGAATCTAAATTGAGAATTTAAACTATAGCACATTTAAAATATAGTCCACCTAGCAACACGATGCGCCCCGCACTGAATTCGTGGACGAATGCGGGGGTGATATAGACGCAGTATTTAATCGGGACGCATTTTTAATTTATTATCATAAAAATAATACATATTTCTAAAAAGTAACCAAACCAAATTATTTTATTTTGTATTGCAAAGCAGTAGATATTTTTTTTATATTCCTTTGATAAACAATGAAGGAGTAAAGTGGTTTCATCTCAACGATTTGGAGGTCATTTGGGTATTTTTTTTTAATTTATTATGTGACACCGATATAAAAATTATGGCTAAACCAAATTACGTACCAGATCATAGATTACTAGCTATTTTTTTCATATGTAATTTCTCTGTAAGTGTCGACGAAAAGTTGGTTCATCTGCACCTTTTTTTCAAGCTTTTTGCGAGAGAGCAGCCTTAATAATAAATGCACTTTGTTCATTCATATTCAAAATTTCAAAACACTTCATACATAAACACCGTGTCGAAGACTGAGGAAAAGAATCGACGTTAGACCATCGTTAGACAATGCACGGCCTTCAAGCCACACCTCCGTGCCCCTCGGAGAGCGTGAGGTTTTTTCGTTACGAAATTTCTGGATTTTCCCGCACTTAAGGCCCGCGATAGAAGCTATGCAATAGCTTAAAACTGATTAAGAAATTTTATAATTTAAAGTATATCACCAAGAAGTCACACTAATTGTTTGAAATCTTACTTATGCTATTATAAGATTTCTTGATATTTTTTACAGTATATAATTTTAAGAATAATATTTTTACTAAACTATAACTATATATATATATATATATATATATATATATATATTTATATACTTTAAGGATGTAAAACATTTTAAAGTGAAATATTTTAATAGTAATTCTTACATAAAATTCTCGGTAATAATTTACATTGAATACACAACAACCTTGTTATCTTATTTATGAGTAATCAGCTATTGTCGGATTAAATTTAATAATACTAGAGAACCAGTTCTAAAACTATAAAGTTTCAGGGTGTTAACTTAATTGTGAGGATACCGAATTCGTAGTAAGCCACTTACATATTATACGAGATAAAGCTTGTAACCGAGAAGGAAAAGGGGAGATCTCCCGCCGGACAAGGTGTTTTCTCTGGTTACTCCGTGTGATAGTTCGGAACTATTCTGTATATACTATTATGATTTGAAACTTTGATAGCGCGATTAAGGTTTCGATGAGTTTCGCTTGTGGCGCGACGACAGCGCCGTCACATCACTCACCTGCTCAGACCGGAGCTCGATAATGCAGTCCGATTGCCGGTGCGTCCTTAATGCTGGTGGGGAATGCATGCTGTGTGCGTAAGGGCAGATGAGACTGGTGGGAACGATATGATATGCCGGAGCAAGTGCCAAAAGTCTGCCTTATAAATCTGCGGTGAGTCGAGATGAAGACAAGTTGGACTTGCTTGCGGGAACTGAAGACGATTTTCAGTAGTGAATAGTAGGGGTTCTTGGAGACAATGACAAAGGCTTGAAGTTGTAGTATCCGAAGGTTGTTGGTTGTGTCTTCAGATCACGTCGGGGTCACCACTGTTGCCGAGAAGAAAAAGGGGAGATCTCCCGCCGGGCAAGGTGTTCGGCCCGGGAAGTGGCCAACGCGGCCACTTCCCGGCCAGTAATAGTTCGGAGCTATATACTGTTTTGATTTGGAACTTTGGTAGCGCGATTTATGCTTCGATGTGTTTCGCTTGTGGTGCGACGATAGCGCCGCCAGAAGATTTACGTACGCAAAAACTGTATAATGTTTTTTAGTTAACAAAACCCAAGAAATAACAGGGAGAAATAAAATAAACTTGAGAGAGTTAAAGCTTGTGGAAAAAAATTGGTCGTGGAAGGAAAAAGGGAGATCTCCTGCCGGCCAAAGTTTCAACCCGGAGAGCGACCAACGCTCCGTGTGTTGATATGGAGCTGTTCTTTAACCTCTCAACTGCGGATGTCTAACTCTTGGACACGAAAATATCTCCTTTGACTGCGGGTGTCCAAGTACTGAACATTTTTACCCGCTCTTTTAATGTCGAAATAAAGCATTACGCACTATGTCCAACTTATTCTACCATATGTCGATGTGTACAGGATAAAAAAGTTACCATAAAAACCTCACAGCTTATACAATTTAGTAGGATTTTTATATATACCATCGATAAAATCGTCCGTGCCTTGAGTCAGCCATTAGTGTGACTGACGCGCGCTAACAACAAAGTTGTTAGCAATTATTTTGTACTAATTTATATTAATTGTGTGGTGGATTGTGTTAAAAAAATCCCTGGGTAAGCAACCTCCTTATTTGTAATCTCATTTTATGTTTTTTCTCATACGTGTAAAATTGTTTTTTTTTTTTTTTTTTAATTTGTATGAAGCAAACCGCTATCTTAGAACTAACATGCTGGTAGCGGAAATTTGACTTGAAATGTACGTAAAATTTTAGTGTTGACTGACAGTTGTGTGTCAAAATATGTGTAATTGTTAATTATTTACAGTTTTAGTACATAAAAATGAGGATAAAGTGCAATATTTTCACAATTTCAATGTAAATCGCAATAGGTGCATTAGTATCCATCTATGAGACACCCGCCCGCAGTAGTGAATTCTAGATCTTTGTTTTGCGGGTGACGAAAAAAAGGAACTAAAGTTTGCCATACTGCACCACGTTTAAATTCAGTTGAATTGATAGAATCGTAAAGAATCTAGCGCCCTCGAGCAGATAAACGGAGCTTGGTTGATTCCAATCTCATTCGATGATTTATGCAAAAATTAGATGTGGCATTTGGATATGCCAAGATGTATGTTAACAAAAGACTTCGGAATTTTTTAAACAATTTATGAAAACAGAAAAGTAGAAAGTATTTACATATGCTTTTTAATATTTTTATTTTAATATTTAATATTTGAAATTTTTATTTCTTTATTTTAATATAAACAGGTCGTGGTTTTTTAAGGTCACCTCAGACACATGTTTCTTATATCGCTTTTTTTACTTTACTTTGCAAAATTCATAAATCAAAAAGAATTTAAAAAAATTAAGTATTTTTGATTTAATTTTTACGTAAGTTTCAGTTTTGCAAATCGTGTAACGTTGCGTTATGTTTCAACCTATAGCAAGATTGCTCATACCTACAGTACCATTCGTAAATAATTAGTACTTTAGATACAGTAAATCGAACAAGTACAAGGAGCCTTTTAAAGAAATGAGTACCCGTGTTATATATTCATTCAATTTTATACTAATGTACATCCATCCACTTAGTTTTTATTGTTGCCTAGCTATAATTTGTTCAGCTGATTATTTCAGACTATCAATCATCGTTGAAATAGTTAAGTTACAGCCTATTTACGTCCCACGGATGGGCCTTACCTCACTTCTGAGAGGGTTATAGGGCAAAGAAGTGTCCGCCACGCTGCCTCTATGCATGTTGGCGAACTTCACATGTCTTTGAAATATTTTTTTCTTATTTCTCAGACAGTCAGACTTTCTCACGATATTTTCCTTCACCGCCGAGCACGTGGTAGATCAGCACTTAAAATTGTAATTAACAATTTCATTCACGCCAGTGGGGATCGAACCCGGTTTGCTAGCGTACTGTGAAATTTAACGCGAGAGCTAACCATCTGAGCTACCGGGGCTCCTCTGAGCCACCACGGTTCATGTTGACACTTTTTATTTTGTATGTTTTCTATAGAATAGGGTGACAAACGAGCACACAGTCCACCTGATTGTAATTAGTTGCTGCGGCCCGTAGATATCTACATCTATCCTCGATTACAAATGAAAATGCAAATGCGTTGTCACCCGTGAGACTAAGATGGAATGCCTCGTTTCCAGTAAAAACCGTCTCCGGTTCTCTACACTTACCATACGAAACACAGCCAGCATTAAGCTAATATTTCACATAGGTGTTCTGTGAGAGCGTGGTCCTTCCCCGGTCGAGCCGATCCATTCGTGCAACAACTATAATACTAATATAACTGCAGCATGGCTCTACCACGTATAAAAAATGTTTTAATTAACTAGTACATAATGCACAAAAAGTGCAAAATTTGGACTTTAATTTTGGCATATTTTTGGAGCATAAGAAGTGGGTTCTTTAAAAATATATATCCATAATATATTTTTTATTTCAGGAAGAGATAAATTTAATTTAAATTTTATTATTTCGATATTATTTATGTTAAAGGAAATATATTACCTTTTTGAGAAATAATGTTGTTAAAATTATGTTAGTTATTGGAAATTTTATATAACCGCCGCGCACCCGCGGCGCCTCTGAACTGCTTTGTCACTCGACACTATTATGGCGCATTGAGTATTGTTTACAAAAAACGTTATTTTAGACTCTAGATCGCAGTGGAAGTGAGTTGTTTAACAGTAACACTTTGAGTGGTTTAACAGGTTGAATGCCGGAATCCCCGCGCGGAGTTGTCGGGAATTCCGTTACAGTGCCGCCGACTCCGCGCGGGGGTGACTAGCCTTTATGCTCTTATGTCTCAGTACGCCGCCGGCATCGTAGGTTGGTGGTTGTTTCGCAGTCGGCGTAGGCCTATAGCCTAGCGTACGTCGTAAAAATTTTGGTTTTGGAATTGCTTTGTTTTTATGAGAACTATGGACGCTGAAACTCCGCGTTCATTATTTGGCAAACAGCGACTTAAACGTCGTCTTGTGTTTGTTTCCTCACCCGAAACATCTGAAAGTGAAGAACCTGCGACGATTACCTTGGCACGCACTAATACATTACGAATTGAAACATTGGAAAATGAAGAATCCGCGACTACTACCTTGCCACGTACTTGTACATTACAAAAGAAAAACACTACGATTCGGTATTATGAGATTACGGAGGTTCTTGAACAAATTGACTCCGACTTTAGTGCCTCGTCTTCCGATAATTATCAACCAGATTCAAATGGTTCGTCGTGTTCAGACTCTGAAAATACAGCCTTTGAAGATAGTCAAGTCGAGTGCTCTGCCACAGAAGACGAGCAGCCTCAATCGTCAGCGTTACTACAAGTTGAGCAGGATTTGGCATCACTAAATGTTCCTGGACCGTCTCAAGGGCAAAGGGCACGAGAAAGACCATCTGTACCTTGGTCAAATACAAATGAAGGTATGAAGATCTTCGATTTCACGGAAAAAGTTGGTTTGAAAGTGACGGTATCCAGTGATTCAAAAGCTATAGATTTTTTAAGTCTTTTCCTCGATGATGAATTCCTGACATATATTGTTCGGGAAACTAATAAGCACGCTGCTGATGTTTTGATGAAGCCAGGAGTTGGGCTGAAATCAAGAATAACGGACTGGAAAGACACAAGTGTCGCCGAGATGAAATTATTTTTTGGCATAATTTTGCATATGGGTATTATTCGTCTCAATCGTTTGACGGACTACTGGAAAAAAGATCGATTATTCAACATTCCAATTTTCAGACAGTATATGTCGCGAAACAGGTTTTTGTTGCTGTTTAGATGCTTGTATTTTTCCAGCTCGTCATTAGGGGGGATTGAGCAAAGTCGACGAATTGATAAAACGATTTAATGATAAGATGAATGATCTGATATGCGCTCAGAAGGAATTATCGTACGACGAAAGTATGATTCTCTACAGAGGTCTTTTATTATTTAGGCAATATATAAAAAACAAGAAGCACAAATATAGGATGAAGCTGTACATGCTCACAGAGCCCGATGGCCTCGTTCTGAGACTGCATCTGTATGGAGGCTCCGCCGATATAACATGTGGAAAAGGACACACAGTAAAGGTGGTGCTGCACCTATTGAAAGATTTTCTAGAGAAAGGCCATTCAGTTTATATGGACAACTTCTACAATGGGTATAATTTAGCCGCGAAGTTGCTTACTCACAAGACTTACTGCACGGGAACTCTAAGATAAAAACGCGAATTCAATCCTGAGATTGTGAGTAGTAAAATGAAAAAGGGAGAGAATAAATCTGTTTTTCATAACGGAATTCACATTGGATGCCATAGGGATAAACGATACATTCCATACATATCGACAGAACATGATGATGAAATGGTTACGGTGACCAACAAAAGGGGAATCTCAAAAGAGAAACCAAAAGCTTTAGCTTTTTATAATCGGTTCATGTCTGGCATTGACAGGCAAGATCAAATGTTGTCGTACTACCCGTGTGAAAGAAAAACGCTGCGCTGGTATAGGAAGTTCTTTATACATATATTTCAAATACAGATTTTGAATGCTTACATCTTATATAACAGATTTTCCGGGAAACGCTTGAATATGTACGAGTTCAGGATGTCCCTCATAAATGAATTATTACCGCCAAAAGATTGTTCAGTTTCAACTAGCTCACTAATTCCCACTCGTTCGGTACGAGTTCACAAACTTACTAAAATAGAAAACAAAACCGAAGAAACTAAAAAAGATGCGCCTGGACATATTAGAAAAACCACTAGAGTAAAACGAAAGGTTTGTCGCCAATGTACCGCTGCAAGAAAAATACGTAAACAGACACGCTACAACTGTGTTTCATGCCAAGAGCAGCCTGGGCTTTGTGATCAGGAGTGTTTCGATGCATATCATGCACATTATGCACATTAAATTCATGATTATTTTTTTTGTAATTTTTGATTTGTTTTAATTTTCTGTTTATTGTTTTTCTAAAATGATACTAATGGACACTAAAACTGACGTTTTTTAGTAATTGTTGATTTTCTCAATTTTATTATAATTGCTTAGAACGTCAATGTTCATGAAAAACTTATTTTTTTACAATAAAAGCATTCTGTAAGAATCTGGACTTGTGTTTTATTTCACTAAATAAAACTGAATTTAAAATGTATTGTTTAGTTCCGAGCGAGTTGTATGGCATCATACACTGAAAAAGTCAGTTCGCTCTGCCGACGACTCCGCGCGGAGTTTCATGGCGTCATGCTCAGGAAAAACCGATGCGCTCTGCCGACGACTCCGCGTGGGTACTTATATAAATATATAGCTTATATATATATTTTTATATATGCTATGTATCAATGTATTTACTGTCCTTATATGTACAGGCATATATTTAAATAAAAATCAGCAATTGGCATCGCGGATAATATTTTGTTTGTATGAAGCTAAATTCCGGCAATGAACCTGTTAATGGCTTTTAAGGGAATGAATAAATCTTTATTTCTCTACAAGTGCTGTTGAAAATTGTTTGCTTTAATAAAGTAATTAATTTTTCAATAAATATGGCACTTAAAGCAAAAATTTTGATATCGGCACTAAGAATACTTATTTCATAACTTTATGAGTTTTGTAAAACTTAGCAAGATCTATTTAAAGATGACTGAATCATGTAAGGAAAAAGAGAGGTTCAACTAATCCTGGAAATAAAACCACATGTTTCTTCATGAATTTAAGTATATGTTTTAACGAAATTAAAAAAAAAGCTAGTGTTCATTTTATTGACTAATGCATTAAACCTTTAACTGCCGTGTCAGTCACTTTGTACGGAGTATTGCATATAAAACGTGACCGACGGCAGTTTAATTGTTAATGCCGCATCTGGTCCGAACTACATTCTACATCGGTGTAAGTTGATTGTTGGTTCTTGTAAGCTTACTATTATTGCGTTTTATGATAAAAATTGTATTATAGCCTATGATTTTGCGCATAAAATATTGTAAACAATAGATTAAAATTAAATGAAAAAAAATCAGAGTATTAAAAAAATTTTTTTCATCGAGAAATATGACAATTTTGTCTTTATTCAATATTTACTTACACTTATTACTTTGTGACTTTATTTAATTTATGTACTCGTTTATGGGAAATTTCATAGAGAATTCAGAAATGTATACATATTATAGTATTTGGTATACCAAAATTAAGAAATTTGCGTTTAAACGGATTGCGCCCAATGCGCCGTCAATTTTATTAAACAGCTCCGCAGTCAACGGAGTATGACGGTTAAAGTCGCAGCTGAAAGGATATATTATAGCAATGTATCTTCGAAACTTTGATAGCGCGATTTAGGCTTCGATGCATTTCGCTTGTGGCGCAACGACAGATCCCCCACATCAGATTACCCTGACGTGATTTGAATACGCATCCTTCTGATCTAGAGACAGAACACAACTTACAGTAATTTTTAACACCGCTAACATGCGATTCGCTAAAAATAAAAAATAGTAAATCTTTTATTGGCTGTATGTCTGCAAGATGGATCTGTGAAGAGATAAATTGTCTTTCGTAAAGAATATTTCCAATCGGATTTATACAGATTATCTCTCCGATCATATCAATAATCGCATACGATCAAAAATATAATCGAAATGGAATTCATATTTATACACCAATTGTTTCTTTTTATTTAATGCGATATTATTTGCAAATCCAAATTTATATTCTGAACTTATTTATTTGTAAATTTTTGAGTATAAAATAAGAATAATTATGTTTTACTATAATTTTAATTACGCAAATACTACTTGGGTTTTGAATAAAACTAAAGTTACACACATTATCGCGTTAGATTTTAACTTAAATTACTTGCCAGAATTTAATCCGTTCAATGACAAAAAGTATTTAAAAATTACTAATTAGTGTTAGTAAAAAGTTAGTAAAATTTTAAGTATAGACTTGACAGCAAATATCAATTAACTCAAAGATTGTGGCGCAGCGGCACTATGACAAATATAAACATTAAAAGTATACTTTATTTATTGTATATTACTAAACTATTTGCAAACAAAGAAAATATATAATTAATATGGTTATGTGGTATATAGTATATATATTTTGAGACTATTTTTGATGCCCTTTTATATTGAATTTACAACATTACCCCACCCCCCTATTAATTTCTCACAAATTTATTTAATAACATTTTGATGTTGTGACGGCCCAATATTATTATTAATAATTAAATTCAATATAAAAGGGCATCAAAAATAGTCTTTAAATATATTAAGCAAAAAATGACATTAATAAGCATAAAGTTAATATAAACACATTTCAGACATTAGACCAATAACATAGTAAATTAAAGGCAAATTATTGTCTTTCATAATAAATAAATTTATTTAAAAACTTGTAAAAATATTTAAAATATGATAATTATTAGAAATACAAGTCGAAAATATTATAAAAATAAAGATGAATGACATTTAAAAGACAATTAGAAAACTTGTTAAAAATTGTCTAAGTTGCAGAAGGTGTTCGTTTATATAAGTCTTGTATGGAGGAGCTGCCGAAGATACATACCTGCAGTTGTACATATACTATATGGGGTGGTCGGGAGCCCGACTGCTTAAAGTACTGTAGCACAATGACTAGACCTATATTAGGGACTTATGATAATTAACTCAATGATACAAAAGCAATACTATAGAATGTATCTATGGTGAATTTGCATTACAATTGTGGGGTGGTGGGTTGAAGTCCTATATATTAATGACTTATGAAAGTAAGGTCTATGATACAAAAGCAATACTATAGAAGGTCTTTAAGATGAATTTGCATTACAATAGTCGGGTCGTGGGCTCGAGTCCTATATATGAATGACTTATGAAAGTAAGGTCTATGATACAAAAGCATTACTATAGAAAGTCTCTATGATGAAATAGCATTACAATAGTAGAATCGTAGGCTGAAGTCCTACATATTAATGACTTATGAAAGTAAGGTCTACGATACAAAAGCATTATTATAGAAGGTCTCCTTGATGCATAATCATTATATGGGGTGGTCGGGTGACCGACTGCTCTTAGTATTGTAGCAAAATGACTAGTTCTTATTAGGGACTTGAAAAAGGCTTATTATGGTGGCGTGTATGCTGCTTCACGAGCAATTGGTCCGAGGTAAACTTGGGCTCGCTAACCGATGTTTACTAGACATAATCATCTTAGTGCCGGTGGCAAGCGGGTTTGTTGTAGCAATACGGCTTTCCCGTGGACATCGCACACCTATACCGTTTGTGGGCGGCGTCGTAGCACATAGCGATGCGTCGTCTATCTTTCGGATTGGGTTGAGTGTATTTAGTAGCACTTTTAAGTGTAACCAGCATACTGAACTTAATTTCTTAGTGCATTAGCGCTATGATACGTGGAGTTTTGTTCATTGCCGTCTTAGTAGCGTGCTACTATGATACGTTGGTGATATTTTTTATATAACAACAATAAAAACTTTGTTGCCAAAATCGATAGGAGTCATGTGGGTGTGTTGTGAGGGGGCGCCACCCGTATGATAGTTGCATTGATGCTTACTGCTACTTGCGGTATTGCGTCTTGTGATGGATCTGCGGGTGTGCTGCGCCTGATTCGACGTATTCTTGTGGTTCTGGTCGATGGAGGTATACAATTAACATCTTAGTGCCGGTGGTAAGCGGGTTTGTTGTAGCAATACGGCTTTCCCGTGGACATCGCACACCCATACTGTTTGTGGGCGACGTCGTTGCGCATAGCGATGTATCGTCTATCTTTCGGATTGGGATGATGAGTGTGTTTGGTAGCACTTTTAAGTGTAACAGGCATACTAAACTTCATGTCTTAGTGCATTAGCGCTATGATACGTGGAGTTTTGTTCATTGGCGTCTTAGTAGCGTGCTACTATGATACGTTGGTGATATTTTTTATATAACAACAATGCGAACTTTGTTACCAAAGTCGATAGGGATCATGTAGGTGCGTTGTGAGGGGGCGCCTTCCGTATGATAGTTACATTGATGCTTACTGCTTCTTGTGGTATTGCGTCTTGTGATGGATCTGCGGATGTGCTGTGCCTGATTCGACGCATTCTTGTGGTTCTGGTCGATAGAGGTATGTGGGTGGTGATGTCTGCTGGGATGTATGGAGGACCTTGGGATGGTGTAAGCCCGACGATAGTCGTATTGATGCTTGTTGCGTTCTGCAGCATTGCGTCTCTGT